AGAGAGAGAGAGAGAAAGAAATGCTTTTTCCTTAATTTGTTTATATAAAATATTATTATTTTATTCAAGCGTGTATACGTCTATTTAAAATAAAAAATATCGAAATCATTGTTTATAGAACCAATTCATTGTTTATAGAATCGATACGATACCTCAATTACTCAAAACTAATTTATCATGGGGTCATGTAGGACCAGTGCCATATTTTCCTGATTATTTCGACATGGACGTATGTAAAATTTATATTCATGCAAATAAACATTTTTTCTGCTACTTTTCTACTATTTTCTACTATTTTCTATTATTAATACGATAACATATATACTTTTAGGATCCTTATACGAGTCAATTGCCATCGAGATACATAACTGTGAACGATAATGAGGAATATATACGTACATTAATAAAAAATCATGAATTTGCGGTTTTCGGAAAAGTCATAGACGCAATCTTCTTTCCTGAAGATGATATCTTTAAGGATGATGTTAAAGTAAGTAACACTTATATTAAAATATTAAAAATATCCAAAATAAATTATAAATTATGCTTGTAGGGCTACAGAGTCATGAAAGAAAAAGTGGCCAATTATTATTCGTCCTTTGCGGTTCAACCGTGGCTGTTGCGACCTGTTAACACGGTAATATAATTGCACAATTATTAATTAATTGTTACTTATGCCTATTATCCAAAATAAATTTTTTTGTGACAAAATCCGTTACGTTAAGTTTTCTTGCTATATTAAATATGTACAATCATACATACAATCTATTTGTCACTGGAAAAATACAAATGATTGTGAATGAAACATTTTATAATATATTTATATTATTGCTAGTTATTAATTTAAAATTAATTATATTTGCGTACTGTGTATAAACATATAATAATGCCTAATTTTTACTGCCTTGTTATGCGTTCATAATAATGTTTGATCAATGTTAACGATTAGACAATGAATAAGCGGAATATTGTTGTTAAGAGATAAGTCAAATGATCATGTAGACTTGGTTTAAAGTACAAAGGTTTAAAGTCAAGTTGTTTATCTTAACTCATACATTTACTCAATACATTTACAAGGAAATTTACTGATTTTTGCGAAATATTTTTTCTTACTCTTCAGTCTTCTTTTTATTTTCCAGATAATGCTATGGTTGAAGGAATCTGGCATCGCTCGCTTTCATCTCAGTGACGTCATTCATCGACGAGCCAGTTCTACTCTTCACGAAGTTGTTAAAGAATACGATGATTTCGATGGAAATGCTAGAGTTCTCAAATTAACACCATTAGGCGCTGGATTTACAGCGCTCATCGTAGGTCTTTTAGCATCCACAATGATATTTTTCTATGAATTGAAACAAGCCGCTAATTCGCGATCAATTCGCGAAGTATTTCGAGATATCCAAAAGAAACGAGAAGCATATAAGTCGATTTGAAAGAAAAAAATATCAAAAAGGAACTGAACCATTAAATCACAATTCAAACGATGCCGATTTCTTAATAATTGAATCTGTTGAACATTTCGCAAATATAGAATATGCACAGAAATTTAAAGACAAGATTTCTAGCTAATAATTTATACGTATTTATAAGTAAATATTTATAAAATATTACTTATGTTTTCATTTATGTATTATTTATTTTATGCTTATGGAAAAAAAATTTTAATTGACAGCAATATGTATTATATAAATTGTATTTAAATAACAAAACATAATATATTTTAATATATAAATAATAATTTTTGTAAACAAAACTATATAATTCTTACAATATTTTAAAATTATAAATGAGACAATCTTGCTTAAAAAAAATTATTGATATTATTCATTATCAAAAATTATATATAACAATTTATGAAAAATAATTATGTACATACAAATAATTCTCTGTGATCAATGCTCATTTAATTCAATATCCTGCTAATACTATTGTAAAAAAATCTTTTATTACATAACTCCTATTATATAACTCCTTTATAATGAGCCACTGCTTGCTTCGATCTCTCAGGTTTCCTTTTATTACATCTTATATATTTTAAGAGTTAAGACTTACACACAATTCGCAATCCTCAATGCTCTTGGAATTTGAAGACCCAGAGACAATTTTTTTACATTAAATTATTTGATAAACAATAAAACGAAGAGATGGTTTACCTAAAAAAAATTATTGATAATAGAAACTTATCAGCTAAGGGCCACTGTGTTTCATTAGTCATGTTCCATTCAACTCAAAATCGAGCGTCATCATTGATAACTAGGTGGTCTGATTGTTTTTTATCAAAATAAATGTTTTTTATCATGTTTTTTGTTATTTTTATCTTTATATAATATATAATATGAGTAAAAAGATATTTTCATCATAAGAAGTATAGAAATTCAAACAGGCCATATTCAAAATAAAAGAGCGTTCCGCTGAGGAAGTGTGCGAAACAGAAAACTATTTATTAATTGCTTATGCTTATCTTAAATAATCAGTTCTAAAATAAAATACTAAGCTTTTTTAAAAAAGAAGTTTTTTCTCTTTTCTGTTATTTTTTTCCTATTTTCTATAAATCAAATCTAAATTACTGATTTTCAAGTAATTTAGATTATCAAATAATTATATTTTTCTGAAATAGACACCATTATACTATTTTTTTTCGTATTAACATTGAATTGTTTAAAGCTACAAGAATTTTTTTATGTACGTCTATAAACAAGTTATGAATTTTCATCACAATAATGCATTCTGCCGATTCTGCTTCAAATTCAAATATGTACAAAAAAAAATTAAAAAACATTTTATATAATTGTACAATCATATTTTTAAATGTTGAAAGAGTATATAGAACTTTTTCAAATTGTATGCTACAATAAAGATAATAAAAGCAAAACAACGTCATTCATTTGATTGGTAGTTAAAAAATTATTTAATATTGCAATTTTTTTGTGCTTCTTTAGTAACTGATAATTTATCTTTAAATAGACTTTGGAATTATTTTCTATTTATTTTATTTACTTTATTTTATTTTTTTCTTATTCTTTTTCGATTTTTCAAATTACTTATGTAAACTATTTCTAAATTTATGAAATTAACTGATAAATACAGATGTCAAAAAGTCAAATATATTTGGAAGATACAATCAGAATACGTCGTTAAAATAATTTCTGCATATTTCAGAGATCGTACGCAATTTCTCAGAAAAACGGAAACTGGGAAAGACCCACATCTGCGATAACATGAGGACAAAATAATAATTTAGCAATAGTTTCAACGATTTCTCATTGTATCATCTCATATTATCTCATTGTATGACGTACATTCCACTCAGTATCAATACTTTTCTGAGTAAAAGGAAAACATCACTTTTTATGTGTATCATAATAATATATGACCTGCGAACTCTATAAATCTCGTGTCGTGGACAGTAATTGGCTACATTGTGGTGCGCGTTGTTAAACTGAATAAATCTATATGTGCAATTATATCGTTTTTCATTTTCGTTGAGTCACGAATGAATTAAGTTTTTATATCAATATATCGTTAAGCAAAATAAAAACACTTGCCGTTGCGTAATAAAGCTAGCAAAGCTATTAAATCTTTCTAGAAGTGACTATTATATTTCTAATAGACAAAGCAGCAAGATGGAAAAAAAACATATTAATGACGGTAAGATATCTTTATATCAAAAAACAAAAATTGTGTTATAATTGTGTTAAATTTGTGCTATATCACTATTATTAGTGAGAATATAGATCTAAGCTATAAAAAATTTTAGAAAAATGTAAAAGACTAAACAGAAAATTATATAATCTTAACTAAATTATGTGAAATTTTGTGAATCGAGTATTAAACATTCAATAAAACTAACATTTGTATACTATATTATAATCGCGTCAAATCAAATAAATAAATAAACAAACAAATAAAATTATTAAACAAATACAAATCTGTAAATGAATAATTTATGATAAAATATACGTATTTGCATGTCATCGTATCATAGTCCAACCTTCGACGACGGATGAACATTTGAGATTATTGTTAGAGGATAAAAATATAATCGACCCAAAATTTACCAGTGCGACACCCAATGATCTTCCAGATTGGTATGATCAAGAGTTATTTAAAAAGTAAGTATTTGGCATGTAGCAAAAAATATAAAATTCGCAAAAAAGTCGTAATTCGTGACGAAATACATGATATAAATTAAACATATTTTGCTCAAAAATGTGAATTATTAATAATAATAAAAATACTAAATTATTAAATTATTTGGACTTTTTATAATTAGTTTAGTTTATAGATAATATAAATTGCTACAAACTTTTTTGTGGGCACAGTACATTAACGATATGTTAGAGGCAATAAGATTTTAATAGTATTTCTATTAAATTTGTAAAAACGGCATGTTTTTTTAATTTTAGAGCTCAAAACTATTACAAACGAAACCTGTTGTCAATGCTATTATCTAATTTTGTTGGACTTCTTGCAATAATAGTAGTTCCAGAAACATTAAGGGTATTCCAACTTAATATTTTCTATCAAAATACTATATATATAAAATAGTTATAAATAATCTGTGTAGAAATAATTTCCGTTGTTTTAAACATGTTACAATAATAACTTTAAATACTATATTGCAATATCTTTAATCATCCTTAATTAAAACTAGAATTCCTTATTTTAATAAAAGTAACAAAATATTCATTATTTAGTAAATAACTAAAAATAATTTCCTAATAGGTACTTATATTATAACAAAAAAAAAGACAGTATGCCGTGTATAACTTTCAGCAGATATGTCCAGACTTTACTACATATGTATAAATTACATACATGTGACCCAAATGATCCTAATTCTGAGTAAGTTTCATCGAACTATGTATATATTTTCATATTTTCATATTTTATGTACATTTTTGTTCTTATTATTCATAAAATTAACTATTATTTTTTATTACTTTTTGCTACAACTTTTTGTAGCAAACATTTTTAATCTTTATTCTCATTTCTTGAGCCAAGGAGCAAATAATATATTAGCATAATATTTTTTTAAATTTTAATATAAAAATTATATAATATTCATAAAAATGATATAATATTTTTATTACACCTTAAAATTCAAATCTTTGCTGCGTCTTGTATTTTTATATTTTTTTTGTTATTAATCTGTAATATTTGTATAAAATATTTTTAATCTGGTAGACTTTGTTATTCCGTTTTCAGTCTCTAAATAATAATCACATAATACAAATTTATTTTCTTTTTTACTTTTTTATCTTTACATCAAAATTTTCTGTATGTAAAAATGTTCATTCATCAATTCATAAGTAAATGTATTATAAATGTATTATAATGAATTTATATAAATGTATTTATATAAATTCTTACATTTTTACGTTTTGCTAGTTGGTACAAGACAATAAATGTAATTCGCCAAAAACATAAGATAAGTAGTAAGAATGCAATGAATGCTCGCGTCGGAGGAATTTATCAACGAGATGTGGCAATCACACAATTTGCTTTCATAGGATATGTATTGATTGCTCCTACATCCATCGGTTTACGTAATGAGCCAGAAGAGGAAGAAGCACTTAATCATCTTTGGCGTGTGATTGGTCACATGATAGAAATACCAAATCGGTAATATATATGACAATATCAAAAGTACATTTCAATAATCAGCATCAACAAACATAATATTTTATTAATATTATAAATTGTTTTATAGTTTATAATATAATTAATAAAATTAATAAAATTAATAAAATTAATAAAATTGGTAGATAGATAAACTGATGTATTAACTTTATATAATTCTTTATCAGTATCATTAATTATTTATCTTGTTTTTATAGATTAAATCTATGTCGCAAAACTGCAGCGGAAACTCGTGAATTGTGTCAAAAATTAGCTAATGTTTTAGCAAAGTATTTAAGTGAAGCTCCATATGAATTCTATCACATAGTATCAGCTATATTAGATGGCTTGTGGTATTTTGATTTGACTTTAGATAAGGATGCCTTGTTAGCATTTACTTATCGGCTACATGGTATTAAATGTGAGTATTTTTTTCACTTATAATTTATAATTACTAATTTATAATATATAAACTCATTCAATGTTCTTGGTCTTGATTAAGTAAAATTATGTTTCATTTCATCTTTAGATAGATCTTTAAAATAGAGTTTTAAAAATATAAAAAATTTATATTTTTTTTTTAAATTATAAATATCGCATATTGTTTTTATTATTGTTATTTATTTAAAAAGATTCCAATATTCTATTTATTGTATCTATTTGTATGTACTTCCATATTAAGCTTTATTTTTAGGTTAAATAAATATTAATATTAGATAATAATTCACAATTATACTAAAAATTTTAAAATTATACAAAAAGATATAAGATATTAACATTATTATTAATTATTCTATTGATACTCTTATATTCTGAAATTTGATAAAATTCTGTTAAGTTTATAATGTTTATTTTATATGCTTGCTATAGCAAGAAAAGGTCTTGCTTTAATAAAACCATAATTTCATTGTAGAAAAATATCATAATTTATATTTATCAAATGACATAATCCTTATTGATATTTAACATTGCCTTTTTTTATCCTATATTTTTCCAATGTATTAAAAATATATTACAATGAGCAATCATTGCTTAATGTTTTTTAATAAAAATAAGAGATAAAGTGGATAAATTATTTGCATTTCAGATAAAAAGTCGCTGGATTGGTACAGTCAAATAAACATAAAATATCGTGACTTAATATTTTATCTCTGTCGTAAGTATTGCGCAAGTTTGAATAATAATAATAAAATTATAAAATAATTATTATAAAATTATCCACATGCTGATAATCGCCTTTCAACCTGTTTTAGTTATACCCTATATCGGAACAATAGTAAAAATGTTTTTCAATTATCAAATCTTGTTGGCACTTTGGCTTGTGAAGAAATGGTCTCTTCTTGCGTGGTACTCACTCGGAAAAGAAAATTGTCGAATTATTTTATATTCCAAATACTATTGTAAATAATCACATTTTCATATAAGTACAGTATTGGATATAATTAATCATTTGCTCTTTTCCAAAAAGTTTTGCATCAATTATGGCATTCAAAACTTTTTATGTTATCATTAGAATTCTATCAGATTTTTTTAAAACATTTCCTTTTTATTAAATTTTTATTAAATTTGCTATAATTAAAAGTTTTATTTTATTAGTTTGTGAAAAAGTGAAAGTTTTAATCAAATATTTTTCTTCGGAGATTCAATTGATTTCAAGATATAGCTTCCAAGATGTAACTTTAAATTAGTCATAAAAAATATTTATTATAAATCTTTTTAGTATTAATTTATTAATTTATAAATTATTTTTATATGTATACATATTTTTTTATCTAATATTTTAAATATTAGATGTTTGAATATTATAACCTTATATCTTTATTCTTACAATTTTTGTTTTATTTATAAAATTGGGAATTAATAAACTTCTATACATTTTTAGAATATTTATTTTTTATATATAAGATTATACAGAATAATATTGAAATAGATCCCATAATCTCATCATTTGATAACGTATTCTACTTTTTTTAAGGATAAAAAAAGAACATATAAATCTTAGAGAGAACATATAAAAATTCAACAATTCCTCCTTTCCAAAATATATACATCTTATGGTTATGAAATATTAGAATAAAATCGAATATTTTAGAAATCCTTAAAACTTACTTAAGGGAATACGTTATAAGATATTATATAAAAATATATATTTAAATTATATATAAAATTAAAATTAAAATTAAAATCAAAATTACATATAAAGTCAAACACAGCGAAAAAGAAAAACGACAAAATAAGAATAACAGAAAGATCTTTTAAATTATTTAATATATTAAGGTTATAAAGATTCAACTTGAAAATAAAAGATAAAAAGTACTGATAAAAAAAGTTTCGTTCCTTATTCGGCGGGTTCTACAAAACATTTATCTGATAATTTATAATTGTCTAATTTTGTAATAGTGTCTTATAATTTGCACTGTATTGTATACATTTTCAATTTCGCAGAAAAGTTATTTAAAAACATTATTGCGTCATTTATATGTGTCATTTTACGTGATTTTATTATACACAGCGCATGACACACACACATACACACACGCGCGCGCATACGCACACATTGATAAATAATTGCTGGTTAGACAACTCGGAATATCTGGGATATGTAACTGGGATTGTATAGCATGTGAAGTGTTTCAGAACGTCAGGAAAGTTGTGGACAATCGTTTCGTAGGCACGGAGTTCTCTTCAGTATCACGGTAACCGGTTTGGCAGAAAGACACGCTACCTTCTGCAACGTGAAATCAGTGTATCTCAGTGTACCTGTTTTTAATTTTTCGTTATGTCTGTTGTTAAAAATCTACGAAACAGTGAAACAAAAAAGAAACATATCGATGATGGTAAGGCGAAATATTATGTGTTTGTGAAAACAAGTTTTCTTTATGACGTGTTTCTATTTACAAATGTGTTCATATATTCAAAATATTTTAAATTACTACTATATAAGTGTACTTACAGTGTATTTTTATTGTAAATTATTTAATTAAGCTTGTTATAAACTGTGATGATTTAGAACTATATTTCTTTCGCTTTGATAATCTATAATATTATCAGTAATATTATCAGATTTTTAGATATCTCGAAGATATTCCACTCATTTTCTTTCATTATATACAAAGCATTATTGATATCGTAAATTATTAAACAAATACATTATAAAGTCATTTAAAGCTTTATTTAAAATCTAAATAAAACTAATTTTTAATGTGGTACATCTTTTCTCGTAAGCAAACTGAGTAAAACCATCATGAAAATATCTATCATGATATCATATCGCCTTGTTTTTCATTTTTCCTTTGGAGATCAGTGGTGTTCAATATCTTTATTGCATTAACTGAGTTTCAATTATTAAACTAAATCACTTAATCTAACAAACTTAATTGACTTAGCTAATCATATGCGTTGCACACAAATATATTTAATTTTTTAATTTAATTTTTTAAATATTAATTCTTAT